CTTTACAAAAATTCAATCATGTCAAAGGCCCTAAAATCTGGAACACCCTAAACCCGAAAATTCCAAAACTCAGACACATTCATCACCTTTAAAAATACCATCAGAAAACATCTTACTCCCTGAAACACCCTGTCAACTAATAATACGAATAAACCACCTGGTGGTTCATACTTACACTCACTCACCCATTTGACCATAAACAGAAATATCAATCTCAATCTCAAAATAATGAATCTTAACTAGTCATAAGTTGGCCTGTGATACTCCAATACTAAAACTATGTATAGTGCCAAAACAAAAGCATTCACATTGCTAAACTCACAACTAGTATTTAGTCACTTAGCCATAATACCAACTTACCTCATAATTTTGTAATATTTTAAACTTAAGATTTAATATAAGTCTGCCCGAAATGCCTAGCCATGCTAGGTGTTCTAGTGGTACACTCTGTAATTATTATTTTACTACATGTGTAGTAGGTTGGTAGACAGCAACCACCCAGGGTGGTACTACCGTCCTGCCAAATGACTGTGAAACAAAAACCTGTAACTGTTTTGCATGATGGTAGGATTGCTGGTTTCTTTTTCTGTCTCATAAACACGCTAGATAACAGGGATATCTTGCTTCTCCTACTTACACTTTGGTCACACTTCACAGACACGCACATGCATATATATATATACATACATCTAGGTTTTTCTCCTTTTTCTAAATAGCTCTTGTTCTTTTTTATTTCTTCTATTGTCCATGGGGAAGTGGAAAAGAATCTTTCCTCCGTAAGCCATGCGTGTTGTATGAGGCGACTAAAATGCCGGGAGCAATGGGCTAGTAACCCCTTCTCCTGTATACATTTACTAAAAAAGAGAAGAAGAAAAACTTTATAAAACTGGGATGCTTAAATGTGCGTGGATGTAGTGCGGATGACAAGAAACAGATGATTGCTGATGTTATGAATGAAAAGAAGTTGGATGTCCTGGCTCTAAGCGAAACAAAGCTGAAGGGGGTAGGAGAGTTTCAGTGGGGGGAAATAAATGGGATTAAATCTGGAGTATCTGAGAGAGTTAGAGCAAAGGAAGGGGTAGCAGTAATGTTAAATGATCAGTTATGGAAGGAGAAAAGAGAATATGAATGTGTAAATTCAAGAATTATGTGGATTAAAGTAAAGGTTGGATGCGAGAAGTGGGTCATAATAAGCGTGTATGCACCTGGAGAAGAGAGGAATGCAGAGGAGAGAGAGAGATTTTGGGAGATGTTAAGTGAATGTATAGGAGCCTTTGAACCAAGTGAGAGAGTAATTGTGGTAGGGGACCTGAATGCTAAAGTAGGAGAAACTTTTAGAGAGGGTGTGGTAGGTAAGTTTGGGTGCCAGGTGTAAATGATAATGGGAGCCCTTTGATTGAACTTTGTATAGAAAGGGGTTTAGTTATAGGTAATACATATTTTAAGAAAAAGAGGATAAATAAGTATACACGATATGATGTAGGGCGAAATGACAGTAGTTTGTTGGATTATGTATTGGTAGATAAAAGACTGTTGAGTAGACTTCAGGATGTACATGTTTATAGAGGGGCCACAGATATATCAGATCACTTTCTAGTTGTAGCTACACTGAGAGTAAAAGGTAGATGGGATACAAGGAGAATAGAAGCATCAGGGAAGAGAGAGGTGAAGGTTTATAAACTAAAAGAGGAGGCAGTTAGGGTAAGATATAAACAGCTATTGGAGGATAGATGGGCTAATGAGAGCATAGGCAATGGGGTCGAAGAGGTATGGGGTAGGTTTAAAAATGTAGTGTTAGAGTGTTCAGCAGAAGTTTGTGGTTACAGGAAAGTGGGTGCAGGAGGGAAGAGGAGCGATTGGTGGAATGATGATGTAAAGAGAGTAGTAAGGGAGAAAAAGTTAGCATATGAGAACTTTTTACAAAGTAGAAGTGATGCAAGGAGGGAAGAGTATATGGAGAAAAAGAGAGAGGTTAAGAGAGTGGTGAAGCAATGTAAAAAGAGAGCAAATGAGAGAGTGGGTGAGATGTTATCAACAAATTTTGTTGAAAATAAGAAAAAGTTTTGGAGTGAGATTAACAAGTTAAGAAAGCCTAGAGAACAAATGGATTTGTCAGTTAAAAATAGGAGAGGAGAGTTATTAAATGGAGAGTTAGAGGTATTGGGAAGATGGAGGGAATATTTTGAGGAATTGTTAAATGTTGATGAAGATAGGGAAGCTGTGATTTCGTGTATAGGGCAAGGAGGAATAACATCTTGTAGGAGTGAGGAAGAGCCAGTTGTGAGTGTGGGGGAAATTCGTGAGGCAGTAGGTAAAATGAAAGGGGGTAAGGCAGCCGGGATTGATGGGATAAAGATAGAAATGTTAAAAGCAGGTGGGGATATAGTTCTGGAGTGGTTGGTGCAATTATTTAATAAATGTATGGAAGAGGGTAAGGTACCTAGGGATTGGCAGAGAGCATGCATAGTTCCTTTGTATAAAGGCAAAGGGGATAAAAGAGAGTGCAAAAATTATAGGGGGATAAGTCTGTTGAGTGTACCTGGTAAAGTGTATGGTAGAGTTATAATTGAAAGAATTAAGAGTAAGACGGAGAATAGGATAGCAGATGAACAAGGAGGCTTTAGGAAAGGTAGGGGGTGTGGGACCAGGTGTTTACAGTGAAACATATAAGTGAACAGTATTTAGATAAGGCTAAAGAGGTCTTTGTGGCATTTATGGATTTGGAAAAGGCGTATGACAGGGTGGATAGGGGGGCAATGTGGCAGATGTTGCAAGTGTATGGTGTAGGAGGTAGGTTACTGAAAGCAGTGAAGAGTTTTTACGAGGATAGTGAGGCTCAAGTTAGAGTATGTAGGAAAGAGGGAAATTTTTTCCCAGTAAAAGTAGGCCTTAGACAAGGATGTGTGATGTCACCGTGGTTGTTTAATATATTTATAGATGGGGTTGTAAGAGAAGTAAATGCGAGGGTCTTGGCAAGAGGCGTGGAGTTAAAAGATAAAGAATCACACACAAAGTGGGAGTTGTCACAGCTGCTCTTTGCTGATGACACTGTGCTCTTGGGAGATTCTGAAGAGAAGCTGCAGAGATTGGTGGATGAATTTGGTAGGGTGTGCAAAAGAAGAAAATTAAAGGTGAATATAGGAAAGAGTAAGGTTATGAGGATAACAAAAAGATTAGGTGATGAAGGATTGAATATCAGATTGGAGGGAGAGAGTATGGAGAAGGTGAACGTATTCAGATATTTGGGAGTGGACGTGTCAGCGGATGGGTCTATGAAAGATGAGGTGAATCATAGAATTGATGAGGGAAAAAGAGTGAGTGGTGCACTTAGGAGTCTGTGGAGACAAAGAACTTTGTCCTTGGAGGCAAAGAGGGGAATGTATGAGAGTATAGTTTTACCAACGCTCTTATATGGGTGTGAAGCGTGGGTGATGAATGTTGCAGCGAGGAGAAGGCTGGAGGCAGTGGAGATGTCATGTCTGAGGGCAATGTGTGGTGTGAATATAATGCAGAGAATTCGTAGTTTGGAAGTTAGGAGGAGGTGCGGGATTACCAAAACTGTTGTCCAGAGGGCTGAGGAAGGGTTGTTGAGGTGGTTCGGACATGTAGAGAGAATGGAGCGAAACAGAATGACTTCAAGAGTGTATCAGTCTGTAGTGGAAGGAAGGCGGGGTAGGGGTCGGCCTAGGAAGGGTTGGAGGGAGGGGGTAAAGGAGGTTTTGTGTGCGAGGGGCTTGGACTTCCAGCAGGCATGCGTGAGCGTGTTTGATAGGAGTGAATGGAGACAAATGGTTTTTAATACTTGACGTGCTGTTGGAGTGTGAGCAAAGTAACATTTATGAAGGGATTCAGGGAAACCGTCAGGCCGGACTTGAGTCCTGGAGATGGGAAGTACAGTGCCTGCACTCTGAAGGAGGGGTGTTAATGTTGCAATTTAAAAACTGTAGTGTAAAGCACCCTTCTGGCAAGACAGTGATGGAGTGAATGATGGTGAAAGTTTTTCTTTTTCGGGCCACCCTGCCTTGGTGGGAATCGGCCAGTGTGATAATAAAATAAAATAATAAATACATGTAAACCACACAATAACCAAATTCTGTAAACTCAGCATTGTAATCCTTATAGAGAATAAACTTTGAATTGAATTGAATTGAATCAAGGTAATGTGAATTTATGAATAGGAGAGCCTGTATATACACCACCTATTTTTGGTGTTCCACATTTTTGCTGGCTTGAAAGTGAGCCATTGTTCATTTTGTTCCACCTGGTGGTGACTATGCTGTTCATTTTGTTCCACCTGGTGGTGACTATGCTGTTCATTTTGTTCCACCTGGTGGTGACTATGCTGTTCATTTTGTTCCACCTGGTGGTGACTATGCTGTTCATTTTGTTCCACCTGGTGGTGACTATGCTGTTCATTTTGTTCCACCTGGTGGTGACTATGCTGTTCATTTTGTTCCACCTGGTGGTGACTATGCTGTTCATTTTGTTCCACCTGGTGGTGACTATGCTGTTCATTATGTTCCACCTGGTGGTGACTATGCTGTACATTATGTTCCACCTGGTGGTGACTATGCTGTTCATTTTGTTCCACCTGGTGGTGACTATGCTGTTCATTATGTTCCACCTGGTGGTGACTATGCTGTTCATTTTGTTCCACCTGGTGGTGACTATGCTGTTCATTATGTTCCACTTGCTGGTGACTATATTATTCAATATGTTTCACCCGCTGGCGACTATACTGTTCATTATGGCTTCATCAGTCCAATACAACGAATAATGGTGAAGATCAAAAGGAGTTGAGGTAATCAGTCTCTCAGCCTGGAGTCGACATAATCAGTCCTTCAAGACCGATGGACTGTATTGGACTGATGAAGCTACTGTGTGGCAAAACGTTTCCACAATAAAGATACCCAAGTGTTGCACATGTGACTTAATTTATCAACTTGTCAGTTCTCTGAACCATTTATCTTACAAAATACGTGCTGTATACAAATACTTGCGTATAAATGAAGCGAATAATGTTGCGCAGCTCGGAAAACTTCACGTTTCCCAAAAGGACTACACAATGCATGTTCAATTCTCGGCTCAGAACCTGGCAGAAATATGGGCTGGCCAAGCACAAGACAACCTGTTGAGAGAAATGAAGGTGTTTATTTCCTTGCAGAACTTACAATGTGTGGTACACATATTACAAAATATTAATTACAAAGAAAGCCACTAGCATGCCTAGGCATTTCAGGCATATAATTACAGCATAGAATTTCTTTCAATAGCCCTTTGATATACCTTTGAAGAATTTCGAGAGTTTATCTACTCTCTGAGCTCGGCCATGGGCCAGGCTCATCTGGTAGGTATTTCCTGCTTAGGCAGGCTGATCAATGATGCCAGTGAGGGGGTCACAGATAGGTAAGGTTTGGTCAGGAAACAGGATAAGTATTTCCTGATGCTGGTCTTAGTTATACGATGACCCGCAGCTGGAGCTTTTGGTCATCTGGCCGAGACCTTCCACTGGTTTACCACTCCATCACTTTTAAAAATTGTGGTTATGATTATAACCATTTCATAGGTTGAGGGGCTCTTGATTCAGGGAATTGGACTTATTTTCCCCTTTGATTGAACCTGACTGCCTTCCATCTCTCCCCAGGACTGTATGACCCCTACCGGTTTAGCACCTTCATTGACTGTAACAGTAACAATACTCACTCTAAACAAATAATTTGCACCTAGGAGAATGAATCTTTTGAAGACATTTTGGTCCAACTTGCGTCATTAACTAGTCACACAAAAGCACAAAGGGTAGAGAGCCAGTATACTATATTTTGTGGCTTATTAGATACCGAGCCATTGAAACAAAAACATGTCTTATAAACCGCATCTTATAAGGCACAAAATACAGTATATACTGGCTCCCTTTCCTTCATATTTCTGTTTGATTAGTCTTTGATCCAAGTACAGTAGAACCTCCATATTCATGGGTCCAGTATCCATTTTTTCAGTTATCTGCAGTTTACCATGGCCCAAAAATAACCTTTAATTTTGTTTAACCCTTTCAGGGTTTCCGACGTACTAGTACAGCTTATGCACCAGGGTTATTGACGTACTAGTACGCCTAAATTCTAGCACCTTCAAATCTAACAAGAGAAAGCTGGTAGGCCTACATATGAAAGAATGGGTCTATGTGGTCAGTATGCACAGTATAAAAAAAATCCTGTATACTTGTGCTAGAAGTGAAAATACTACAAATACATAATTTTAAAAGAAACTCTACTGAAGAAATATATTTAGAGATGAATGTAGAAAGGAAAGTATGTATATATATATGTAGAGTATTTTGGAATGGGTGTACAATATACATATATCAGCAGATCAGGTAGACTGTGGATGTGTAGGCCAGAGAGTCACTATCAACAACAGCTTGGTCGACCAGACTATCAGCAAGAAGCCTGGTTGACCAGGCAATCAGCAAGAAAGCCTAGGTGACCAGGCTATCAGCAAGAAAGCCTGGTTCACCAGGTAATCACCATGAAAGCCTGGGTGACCAGGCTATCAGCAAGAAAGCTTGGGTGGCCAGGCTATCAGCAAGAAAGCCTAGATGACCAGGCTATCAGCAAGAAAGCCTGGGTGACCAGGCAATCAGCAAGAAAGCCTGGGTGACCAGGCTATCAGCAAGAAAGCCTGGGTGACCAGGCTATCAGCAAGAAAGCCTGGGTGACCAGGCTATCAGCAAGAAAGCCTGGGTGACCAGGCTATCAGCAAGAAAGTCTAGATGACCAGGCTATCAGCAAGAAAGCCTAGATGACCAGGTTATCAGCAAGAAAGCCTGGGTGACCACTCAATCAACAAGAAACGTGGCCTTTCACTGTGATGTGAAGGGTCAAAAGAATCCCTGAAGTCACAGATTTAACATACAAAGGTACAAAACTTAAACTAACCCTGTGTGCCTTTAGACTCTGACCCTCAGCTGTGAGGGTCACGTCTGTATAAGTGTCATCTCTCAGCAGTTGGTCCAACACTGTTATACAATGAGTTTCCTTCTTCAAAAGATAAGGTCCGACCAAACCTGAAATTTGGTATCATTGTCAGTTTTAATGAGCACAAAATATGCAGTGAAAATAGTTTACACCGAGACTCACAAAAACGTAATAACACGATTGTAAACAAACCATGGAATGGCTGGCGTTCGAACCCATGGCGAGTGAATTTTAAGACTTATCATGGGTTCAAACCCCGACCTGCTCCATGGTTTATTTACATCAACTTACAACAGGCAACTCTCTTACAAAGCTCCTCTTTATAGAATAATTTTCTGTAAAGTCTATGGAAAAAAGTACATTGAAAATCGAACACCACACGCGGAGATCTTCATTGTAAGTGCTATTAAATTTTGCCCCCTCAAGGGATGCTGGTGAGGGGCTCTTGATCTAGGGAATTGGATCTGTGCTCCAGTTCCCTGAATTAAGCCTGAATATCTGGGAGAGAGAGTTCCTGGAGAGAGTTCCGGGGGTCAACGCCCCCACAGCCCGGTCTGTGACTAGGCCTCATGGTGGATCAGCGCCTGATCAACCAGGCTGTTACTGCTGGTTGCACACAATCCAACGTACGAGCCACAGCCCGGCTGGTCAGGTACCGACTTTAGTTGCTCGTCCAGTGCCAGCTTGAAGACAGCCAAGGGTCTATTGGTAATCCCCCTTATGTATGCTGGTACCTTCCATCCCCTGCACATGCACTGTATAATCCTATGGGTTTAGTGCTCCCCATGATTATAATATTAAATTTTGGATGAACTTTCTAAATCACATTCACTAAAAATCATATTATATAGAAGAACTTTTTAATTGAGATATTTTAAAATCCAAATGGGTTTCAAGCCTAAAACTTGCATATTATTAAACAGTCTTGCAGATAAATAATGACTGCAATTATTGTTCTTAATAATAAACTGATAATGTTTTAACACATCGGCCATATCCCACTGAGGCTGGGAGACCAAAAAAGAAAACGAAAATTTATATGGGAGAAAGGGTTACTAGCCTTTTGCTGCCAGTATTTAATAAGGAGAGCCTCCTTCCCTTTGCTGTGTGACCTGAGGGAGAGTAATTTTTGTGTGGTGAAACTCTCCCTTGTATTACCACCATTGTAAAGATGATTCCCACAGAGGAACAAGGTGTGATATGACCCATAGGGGTCACACTACACCTTGGGAATAGGAAGTAATCATGTGTGATCCAAAGAAGGGAGTTCTTCACCAGCATCAAGGAACTTCGGCGATAGAATGCACAATGAAGAAAGAAACTATGGTGTGTAGAAATATACCCATGTTTGATGAATCTTAATGTAGACAGCTGGCAAAGTGGTTTACGCACAGGCCTGAAGTTTTACAAATTATTCACCATGGGTTCGATCCACACCCGTTCAGTGGTTTGATGCAATCGTGTTATTGTGATTTTGAGTCGCAATCCTAAGAGAGTCACGAACTAGAGATGGTAACAATACACAAATAACCCGTACATAGGAAAGAGAGAAACTTACGACATTTTGGTTGCCTATAAATACTGGCTGCCTCACTCTCGTGTGTTAGTATAATTTCATAAATGGTCCGAGTTGGACCAAAACATTGCCGTGAGCTTCTCCTATGTGTGGGTTATTTGTGTATTGTTCCAGTCATGATATTGTGCCTTTTGTTCTTTAGAGAGTGTAACATACCTGTGACGTTCATCGAAGATGGGGTAGTCCTCTCGCTCTTGACTGTGCACCCCATTGAGCTGACATTCATGCCACCTGGTGAGACAAAAACCAAGCAGGTTGTTTTTGAAGGTCAAGTTATACCTGTGACCAGTGCTGGACCAGGTATACTCCAGGTATACCTGGAGGGTACTCCAGGGGTTAATGCCCCCATGGCCTGGTTCATGACCAGTCCCCATGATGGATCAGGACCTGATCAACCAGGTTGTTACTGCTGGCTGCAAGTAATCCAACACACAAACCACAGCCTGGCTGGATGGTCAGGTACTGATTTTAGGTGACTGTCTAGCTCTCTCTTGTCTTGAAGACAGCCAGGGGTCTTGGAAACAGCTAGGGGTCTTGAGGACAGCCAGGAGTCTTGAAGAAAGCCAGGGGTCTTGAAGACAGCCAGAGGTTCCAAAGACAACCAGAGGTCTATTGGTAATCCTCCTCATGTATGATGGGAGGCAGTTGAATGGTTTTAAAAATATCTTCTGCTCCTACAGCCTGGCTCCCTGTCCCCAAGACCCCTGGCTGTCCCCAAGATCCCTAGCTGTTTCCAAGACCCCTGGCTGTCTTCAAGACCCCTGGCTGTCCCCAAGATCCCTAGCTGTTTCCAAGACCCCTGGCTGTCTTCAAGACCCCTGGCTGTCCCCAAGATCCCTAGCTGTTTCCAAGACCCCTGGCTGTCTTCAAGACCCTTAGCTGTTTCCAAGACCCCTGGCTGTCCCCAAGATCCCTAGCTGTTTCCAAGACCCCTGGCTGTCTTCAAGACCCCTGGCTGTCTTCAAGACCCCTGGCTGTTTCCAAGACCCCTGGCTGTCTTCAAGACCCCTGGCTGTCCCCAAGACCCCTAGCTGTTTCCAAGACCCCTGGCTGTCTTCAAGACCCCTGGCTGTTTCCAAGACCCCTGGCTGTTTCCAAGACCCCTGGCTGTCTTCAAGACCCCTGGCTGTCCCCAAGACCCCTAGCTGTTTCCAAGACCCCTGGCTGTCTTCAAGACCCCTGGCTGTCTTCAAGACCCCTGGCTGTCCCCAAGACCCCTGGCTGTTTCCAAGACCCCTGGCTGTCTTCAAGACCCCTGGCTGTCCCCAAGATCCCTAGCTGTTTCCAAGACCCCTGGCTGTCTTCAAGACCCCTGGCTGTCTTCAAGACCCCTGGCTGTTTCCAAGACCCCTGGCTGTTTCCAAGACCCCTGGCTGTCTTCAAGACCCCTGGCTGTCTTCAAGACCCCTGGCTGTCCTCAAGACCCCTAGCTGTTTCCAAGACCCCTGGCTGTCTTCAAGACCCCTGGCTGTCTTCAAGACCCCTGGCTGTTTCCAAGACCCCTGGCTGTTTCCAAGACCCCTGGCTGTCTTCAAGACCCCTGGCTGTCCCCAAGACCCCTAGCTGTTTCCAAGACCCCTAGCTGTCCCCCAGACCCCTAGCAGTTTCCAAGACCCCTGGCTGTCCCCATCAGGATAACTTGTTGAGAGACGGATGCTTCTTGTATGGGATGATGAAGTGAAGATGACTTCATACCTCTAATTCCTCTCTCAGGGTAAACACAACGCTGCGATCCCACCGCTGCCACCAATATAACGAAAAAAGATTATTTGGTATTTGGTAGCGGGGTGTGAATGATACGTCTTCGGAGGCTTCTTTGTTTATTAATAATGTTATAGTGGGTACACAGGCTTGTGTTGTGCCCATGGCCCGGGAGGGCCATGCCCACGAGAGAGAGCTGGGAAGGTACTTGTGTCTTGCTGCTAGGCCGCTGTGAGAGTGAGGGTGAGGCAAGTCTGGGCATACTGAAGTGGCAAGGCCTATAGATGGCAGCACCTGAGTGGCGCAAAATATGAACTAAGCTGGCAGACAGCATGGGCTGTCTGTGCAGACAGTACAGGCTGTCTACACCAAGACCCCTGGTTGTCTTCAAGACCCCTGGCTGTCCCCAAGACCCCTAGCAGTTTCCAAGACCCCTGGCTGTCCCCAAGACCCCTAGCAGTTTCCAAGACCCCTGGCTGTCTTCAAGACCCCTGGCTGTCCCCAAGACCCCTGGCTGTTTCCAAGACCCCTGGCTGTCTTCAAGACCCCTGGCTGTCTTCAAGACCCCTGGCTGTCCCCAAGACCCCTAGCTGTTTCCAAGACCCCTGGCTGTTTCCAAGACCCCTGGCTGTTTCCAAGACCCCTGGCTGTCTTCAAGACAAGAGGGAGTTAGACAGTCACTTAAAATCAGTACCTGACCAGCCAACCAGGCTGTGCTGTAAAGGAGGACCTTCCTTATACAGCAGGTTATGCTCCAGGTTACTGCTGCAAAGGAGGGCCCTGCTTATACAGCAGGTTATGCTCCAGGTTACTGCTGTAAAGGAGGGCCCTCCTTATACAGCAGGTTATGCTCCAGGTTACTGCTGTAAAGGAGGGCCCTGATTATACAGCAGGTTATGCTCCAGGTTACTGCTGTAAAGGAGGGCTCTGCTTATACAGCAGGTTATGCTCCAGGTTATTGCTGTAAAGGAGGGCCCTGCTTATACAGCAGGTTATGCTCCAGGTTACTGCTATAAAGGAGGGCCCTGCTTATACAGCAGGTCAGGTTCCAGGTTACTGCTGTAAAGGAGGGCCCTGCTTATACAGCAGGTTATGCTCCAGGTTACTGCTGTAAAGGAGGGCCCTGCTTATACAGCAGGTTAGGTTCCAGGTTACTGCTGTAAAGGAGGGCCCTCCTTATACAGCAGGTTATGCTCCAGGTTACTGCTGTAAAGGAGGGCCCTGCTTATACAGCAGGTTAGGTTCCAGGTTACTGCTGTAAAGGAGGGCCCTGCTTATACAGCAGGTTAGGTTCCAGGTTACTGCTGTAAAGGAGGGCCCTGCTTATACAGCAGGTTATGCTCCAGGTTACTGCTGTAAAGGAGAGCCCTGCTTATACAGCAGGTCAGGTTCCAGGTTATTGCTGTAAAGGAGGGCCCTGCTTATACAGCAGGTCAGGTTCCAGGTTACTGCTGTAAAGGAGGGCCCTGCTTATACAGCAGGTTATGCTCCAGGTTACTGCTGTAAAGGAGGGCCCTGCTTATACAGCAGGTTAGGTTCCAGGTTACTGCTGTAAAGGAGGGCCCTGCTTATACAGCAGGTCAGGTTCCAGGTTACTGCTGTAAAGGAGGGCCCTCCTTATACAGCAGGTTATGCTCCAGGTTACTGCTGTAAAGGAGGGCCCTGCTTATACAGCAGGTTATGCTCCAGGTTACTGCTGTAAAGGAGGGCCCTGCTTATACAGCAGGTTATGCTCCAGGTTACTGCTGTAAAGGACCCTCCTTATACAGCAGGTTATGCTCCAGGTTACTGCTGTAAAGGAGGACCCTCCTTATACAGCAGGTTATGCTCCAGGTTACTGCTGTAAAGGAGGACCCTCCTTATACAGCAGGTTATGCTCCAGGTTACTGCTGTAAAGGAGAGCCCTGCTTATACAGCAGTTTAGGTTCCATGTTACTGCTGTAAAGGAGGGCCCTGCTTATACAGCAGGTTAGGTTCCAGGTTACTGCTCTAAAGGAGGGCCCTGCTTATACAGCAGGTTATGCTCCAGGTTACTGCTGTAAAGGAGGACCCTGCTTATACAGCAGGTTATGCTCCAGGTTACTGCTGTAAAGGAGGACCCTGCTTATACAGCAGGTTATGCTCCAGGTTACTGCTGTAAAGGAGGACCCTGCTTATACAGCAGGTTATGCTCCAGGTTACTGTTGTAAAGGAGGGTCCTGCTTATACAGCAAGTTAGGTTCCAGGTTACTGCTGTAAAGGAGGGCCCTGCTTATACAGCAGGTTAGGTTCCAGGTTACTGCTGTAAAGGAGGGCCCTGCTTATACAGCAGGTTAGGTTCCAGGTTACTGCTGTAAAGGAGGGCCCTGCTTATACAGCAGGTTATGCTCCAGGTTACTGCTGTAAAGGAGGACCCTGCTTATACAGCAGGTTAGGTTCCAGGTTACTGCTGTAAAGGAGGGCCCTGCTTATACAGCAGGTTAGGTTCCAGGTTACTGCTGTAAAGGAGGGCCGTGCTTATACAGCAGGTTAGGTTCCAGGTTACTGTTGTAAAGGAGGGTCCTGCTTATACAGCAAGTTAGGTTCCAGGTTACTGCTGTAAAGGAGGGCCCTGCTTATACAGCAGGTTAGGTTCCAGGTTACTGCTGTAAAGGAGGGCCCTGCTTATACAGCAGGTTAGGTTCCAGGTTACTGCTGTAAAGGAGGGCCCTGCTTATACAGCAGGTTAGGTTCCAGGATACTGCTGTAAAGGAGGGCCCTGCTTATACAGCAGGTTAGGTTCCAGGTTACTGCTGTAAAGGAGGACCCTCCTTATACAGCAGGTTAGGTTCCAGGTTACTGCTGTAAAGGATGGCCCTTCTTATACAGCAGGTTAGGTTCCAGGTTACTGCTGTAAAGGAGGGCCCTGCTTATACAGCAGGTCAGGTTCCAGGCTACTGCTGTAAAGGAGGGCCCTGTTTATACAGCAGGTCAGGTTCCAGGTTACTGCTGTAAAGGAGGGCCCTGCTTATACAGCAGGTTATGCTCCAGGTTACTGCTATAAAGGAGGGCCCTGCTTATACAGCAGGTTAGGTTCCAGGCTACTGCTGTAAAGGAGGGCCCTGCTTATACAGCAGGTCAGGTTCCAGGTTACTGCTGTAAAGGAGGGCCCTGTTTATACAGCAGGTTATGCTTCAGGTTACTGCTATAAAGGAGGGCCCTGCTTATACAGCAGGTTAGGTTCCAGGCTACTGCTGTAAAGGAGGGCCCTGCTTATACAGCAGGTCAGGTTCCAGGTTACTGCTGTAAAGGAGGGCCCTGCTTATACAGCAGGTCAGGTTCCAGGTTACTGCTGTAAAGGAGGGCCCTGCTTATACAGCAGGTTAGGTTCCAGGTTACTGCTGTAAAGGAGGGCCCTGCTTATACAGCAGGTTATGCTCCAGGTTACTGCTGTAAAGTGAAACATGTTTACACTATCATATACTAAGTGTTTGATACAGCTAGGTCTAAAAAACTGGATATACAATACACACATTACTTACCTTAAAATGTTTTCATCCTTGGCTTACAGTGAGTGGTGAACATATTTACTGTGGGAAACCTGTATGAGCAAGACCCCACCTGGGGTTGGAAAACATTTCTCACTCAACTGCATGTTGAACATACCAGACTATGTTTACCGCTGTGTTAATGTATAGATCTAAAGATCTTAAAAAAAATAAAATTATTATAAGCTTAACCCTTAAACTGTCCAAACAGATCTACGTTCACATGCGTAGTGCTCCAAGAGTAGATCTACGTTTTTTTACAAATTTTCAAATACAAAAAAAATGTAGATCAATGTTTTTTTACATGTTATCAAATGTAAAAAAAAAAAACAGAAGATCTACGTTTTTTACATACTTTTAAATGTTGAAAAAAAAAACGCTGATCTACGTTTGGACAGTTTAAGGGTTAAACACTTGGGGCTATAATTACCCTTTTACTAGCTTGCCACTATACCATTTTCTAAAGTGCATTCTTCATTTACAAACTGAATTTTATAAATTTATGAGGAGAGTTCATAGTTACAAAAATCAATTTATTCTCGTAATGATAAGCACTTTTGAGAACATGTCACTCAGAACAAGGAGTGGTGAAGGTTTGTTCCATAATTTTTAAAGTGGTGGAGCGGGTAAACCAGTGGAAGGCCTTGGTCAAATGTCCAAACGCTCCAGCTGCGGGTCATCGTATGACTAAAACCAGCGTCAGAAAAAACTTGTCATGTTCCCTGACAAATCTTACCCAATCTTCATCCCACATCAATTTCTGCAAAACAGTAAATGTCTGATTTTTCTGGATTATCCTGGTGGGTAATTTAAACTATGTATGATAACTGTACAGTGGACCCTCAACCAGCGATATTAATCCGTTCCTGAGAGCTCATCGTTAATCGAAATAATCGTTAGTCAAGTTAATTTTCCCCATAAGAAATAATGGAAATCAAATTAATCCGTGCAAGACACCCCAAAGTATTGAAAAAAAAATTTTACCACATGAAATATTAATTTTAATACACACAAACTGAAGAAGACATGCACAGTTACATGACACTTACCTTTATTGAAGATCTGGTGATGATTGATGGGATGGGAGGAGGGGAGACCATTGATCTTAGTGTTTAGAAGGGGAATCCCCTTCCATTAGGACTTGAGGTAGCAACTCTTTTTCTGGGGTTACTTCCCTTGTTCTTTTAATGCCACTAGGACCAGCTTCAGAGTCACTGGACTTCTGTCGCACAACATATCTGTCCATAGATTCCTGTACCTCTCGTTCCTTTATGACTTTCCTAAAGTGGTTCACAATATTGTCAGTGTACAGGTTGCCAACACGGCTTGCAGTAGCTGTGTCAGGGTGATTTTCATCAAAAAAAGGTTTGCACTTCAAGCCACTTTGCACAGATTTCCTTAATCTTAGAAGTAGGCAACTTCTTCAATTTATCTATCCCCTCCTCTGAAGCAGTTTCCTCAGGTGTGGCCTCTTGCTGTTGAAGATGATCTAGCAGCTCATCAGTGGTTAGTTCTTCATTGTCCTCCTCCACCAGCTCTTCCACATCCTCCCCACTAACCTCCAACCCCAAGGACTTCCCCAATGCCACAGTGGATTCCTCAACTGGCATAGGATTCTCAGGGTTAGCCTCAAACCCTTCAGAATCCCTTTTGTCTACACATTCTGGCCACAGTTTTTTCCAAGCAGAGTTCAAGGTCCTCTTAGTCACTTCCTCCCAAGCCTTACCTATAATGTTTACAAAATTGAGGATGGTAAAATGATCTTTCCAAAACTCTCTTAGAGTCAGTTGAGTTTCTGAGGTCACTACAAAGCACCTTTCAAACATAGCTTTTGTGTACAGTTTCTTGAAGTTGGAAATGACCTTCTGGTCCATGGGCTGCAGGAGAGGAGTGGTATTAGGAGGCAAAAACTTCACCTTAATGAAGCTCATGTCCCTAGAAAGTCGCTCTGCCAAGTCTGAAGGATGACCAGGAGCATTGTCTAATACCAGGAGGCACTTAAGGTCTAATTTCTTTTCAATTAGGTAATTTTTCACATTGGGGGCAAATGCATGGTGTAACCAATCATAGAAGAAGTCCCTAATGACCCATGCCTTACTGTTTGCCCTCCACATAACACACAAATTAGCCTTGACGACATTGTTTTTCCTGAACACTCTGGGAGTTTCAGAGTGATACACCAATAAAGGCTTCACTTTGCAATCATCACTAGCATTGGCACACATCAACAGAGTAAGCCCATCTTTCATAGGCTTATGTCCTGGGAGTGCCTTTTCCTCCTGAGTAATGTACGTCCTGCTTGGCATTTTCTTCCAAAACAGGCCTGTTTCGTCACAATTAAACACTTGTTCAGGTTTCAGTCCTTCACTGTCTATGTACTCCTTGAATTCCTGCACATATTTTTCAGCCGCTTTGTGGTCCGAACTGGCAGCCTCACCATGGCTTATCACACTATGAATGCCACTACGCTTCTTAAATCTCTCAAACCAACCTTTGCTGGCCTTAAATTCACTCACATCACTAGTTGCTGGCATGTTTTTAATTAAATCGTCATGCAACTTCCTAGCCTTTTCACATATGATCGCTTGAGAGATGCTATCTCCTGCTATCTGTTTCTCATTTATCCACACCAATAACAGTCTCTCAACATCTTCTACCGCTTGCGATCTCAGTTTCGGAAACATAGTTGCACCTTTGGCAAGAACAGCTTCCTTGATTGACGTTTTCTTGTCCACAATAGTAGCGATGGTTGATTGGGGTTTATTATACAACCTGACCAGCTCAGAGACACGCACTCCACTTTCATACTTAGCAATGATCTCTTTCTTCATCTCCCTAGTAATTCTCACCCTTTTTGCTGTAGGGTTGGCACTAGAAGCTTTCTTGGGGCCCATGGTGACTTATTTTGCAGGTGCAATCACTGCAAAGGCTGTGATAATATGAAATGCTCCAGTTGTATGTTTGGAAGAGACCGCGGTGGCTGGCTGCTGGCTTGTAAACACTGGCACCCACGGGACAAGTGAGCCGCACTCAGGCCAAAGTGGACGCGTCTCATACAGAATGAATAGCGCTGGTCGGGTTTTTAAGCGCTAGTCGAGGCAAAATTTTTGCGTTAAAATGTATCGCTAGTCAAATTTATCGTTAATCGATGTCATCGCTGGTTGAGGGTCCACTGTACTTATCTGTAGCTATGCTTCAATAAACTTACTAGTGTTCTACAAACTATACTCACCAAGTTGTATTATCATCAGCTCATAAACGAACAACTACGATTCTAAACACACCAGCAGTAACAGCCTGGATGATCAGGCCCTGATCCACCACAAGCCCTGGTCATGGACCGGGCTGCGGGGGTACTGATCCCCAGTACACCCTCCAGGTATACTCCAACACAAGTAAGAAATATTTCCATGAATGGATACAGATGATTTACACTATTCAGAACCTACAGGAAGTTTTTAAATGGACATAGATAAGTATTTTAAGTTTAAAGTCACTGAGTAGAGAAATTCCCAAACTACCGCTCAAAATATATATAAAAAATTGTCAAAATACAGTGGACCCTCGACCAACGATGGCATCGTATAACGTTAAATTCGACTAGCGATACATTTTAACGCTAACATTTTGCCTCGACTAACGCTAAAATAACTCGACTAACGATATTCGGTCTCGGGTACCAATTAATATCGTTAGTCGAGGGTCCACTGTATATTATGTCCCTAAAATACCATAACAACCAAGAATCACAAACAATATTACTACTCAAATAAAAATATACTTGGATTGATTTGAAAGACATCATTGACTTCTTTCAGCTGATTAACATCGCGGTGGCGGTTCTTAGCTCGGAGTTTGGCCATGTCCATATCTAGGTTGTGGTTATGGATGAGGTTCTTTTTGGTGATCAACAAAGTATCCAACTTGTAGCTGTACGAAGCTGTGATGAAGAACTGACAACCACAAGGCAGGTACCTGCAAAACAAAGGGTACCATAAGCAAAAAAATGACTCGGAAGTAACTTTACGGACAGGCCTTGCTTAAACAGCAGGTTAGGTTCTGGGCTACTGTTATAAAGCAAAAAAAATCACTGTAAAGCGAAACATAGCCTTTTTTTACTTTCAAATGCATATAAAAGCCCGATATCATATACAGTGGACCCCCGGTTAACGAACTTTTTTCATTCCAGTAGTATGTTCAGGTGCCAGTACTGACCGAATTTTTTCCCATAAGGAATATTGTGAAGTAGATTAGTCCATTTCAGACCCCCAAACATACACGTACAAACGCACTTACATAAATACACTTACATAATTGGTCGCATTTGGAGGTGATCGTTAAGCGGGGGTCCACTGTATTAAGCAATAGAGTTAGGCTTTAAAAATGCATATACAGTGCACACATTATTTACACTTAAAATATTTTCATCTTTAGCTTATAGTGAGTGGTGAATACATGTATATTTAGTGCAGGAATTCTGAATAAATGAAGAATGGGGATAATTGAAAAGTGCTGTATCAGCGAAATGCCATAAAGCAAAACGCTGTAAAGTGGGGGCCTACCGTACTTAGGTACACATAAGTACAATTATTATATATAGTTTAACCCTTCCACTGTCCAAACGTAGATCTACGTTTTCGCACATAGTGCTCCGACCTTAATTTTCTCCATTTGAAAGCATGTAAAAAAAATGTAGATCTACGTTTGGAGTGCTACGCGAGCGAACGTAGATCTAAGTTTGGACAGTTAACATATGTGTAAATTATTCACCAGGATAACCCCAAAAAAAAGTCAAAGTGATTTATTTCCATTGGGGTCCTTCCTTGTAATATCTTAATATTTAAATCCTAGATGTAAGGAGGGATGTTAATGTTGCAGTTTTATAACTGTACTGTCAGCATGCCTCTGACATGACAGTGATTGAGTGAATGATGATGAAAGTTTTTCTTTTTCGGACCACCCTACCTTGGTGGGAAACAGCCGATAAGCTAATAAAAAAAAATGTAATA